TGGGGAATTCTGGGAGTTGAAGTCCACACATCTGAAAGTTGCCAAGGTTGAGAAACACTGTCATAGACAAAGCCAGTCCAGAAGATCTTGCTTCGAAGGCAAGTCTTTGTTTTAAAACAAAAAAGATTATTCCAACATTGGCCAATGGCATATCTCAGTCTCTGCCATTCTTTTATTCTTTTACTGTTGCATCTAATCTTTGTATGCAATATAGCAATTGATTGCTGAGCTGTATTGTATATTCAACTTTTTTTTCTGGAGGGCTCATAGGTACGGTACCCATTAGATCCCCAGAATAACCACCCTGCAAAGTAGGGCTGGGAGGAGGGAGAAGGAGAACTCCCCCATCCCTCAGTGGGCTCCATGACTGAATGGGGACTCAACTCAGTCTCCCCAATCCATGGGTCAACCGCTTAATTCTTGAATGTGTCTTCTAAATCTCCTGTTTTGTTTTGCTTTTCATTTCTTTTTTTCTTTCCTCTTCCTCGCTCAGTGCCAATGGAGGAATTAAAAGGAGATTACGACCTGAATGCAGTTCGGCTCTGTTTCCAGGTCTGGATTCGGGATACAGGCACGGGGCACTTGATCCAGCTGCCTCTGGTGGTCTCCCAACCGATCTACGACAATCGTGAGTGTTGGCTAGAACCAGGGCATCGCTTGGTTTGGGGAAAGAGGTCGAGTTGCAGGTCCAGTCCTGAGAGATGAGTGGTTCGGTTTAGGTGCAGGTTGGTTGCTGGGATAACTTCCATTTTATTCAGGGTTAGGGTGCTAGCCCTCATGGAGGCCATCGGGCCAAGAATTCCAAATGGATCCTGACTTAAATTCGGTGGCATGTCATTCCTGTTAAATGTAGGAGGGACTCAAGATCAGTCACACTGTTTCACTGGGTTGACATAATAGCCTAAACCTAGCTTAAGAAGCCATATGTGGCTGTATTTGCAGAATATGGAGCAAAGAACGCTTACAGAGAAAAAAAAAACCCTATTAACATAGGGCGGAGAACTCTTGAAAGGTGGGGGCAGCAACCTCGATCAAATTTTCTGGCACTTCCGTTGGGTGTTTAAAGTTGGGGATTGGAGTGGGAAGACTACCCACCCCAAACTGGTCTGAAATTCAACTGCTGAACTTTGGCACTGCCAACCCTGGATGCTGAGAACCTGGTTCTTACAACCTCCTGAGCCCCAAATCCCGCTCTCATTTTAGCCTAGATTAGGGTTTTGCAGACCCTTCAGATGAATCTGAGCTGGGAACAGACACGTCTAAAAGCTATTTCTCCCATCTGGTGCCTTCTGAAGGCAGTGTAATCACAACAGTGCCCATCTTCCCCATCCAGCATGATCTGGAAGATAGGAATTGTAGTCCATGTACCTGAGGGGGCACCGTCTTGGGAGAATTCTGCCTGCAAAGGGTTTGCTGATTGTAGCTTCTGTTCCTTGACACGGTTGAGGCGGTCTGAAGTCATGAAATCAGCCCTGGCATTGCGGTTTTATTCTATTTCTGTTGCGCAAACCACCTTGGCGATGTTATTGGGCAGTCAAGTGGCTGAGCAACCTTCTAGAACAAATAAAATCCTGTCCTGTGGTTTTAGATGGGGCATAAGATGGATTATTTACTGCATACATCTATATACTTTCTTGGAAGCGTGCCTCATTGATTTCAGTAGCGCCTGTTTTCACATGAATGGGTAGCGGCTTACTTTTTTCCTCTAGTTCCAACTCAGCATTTCCTTTCCCTCCCTAAACATTAATGGAAATAGGATGCTAAAGGTCATCTAGACTCACCCTTTGCTGGGGGCAGTTTCTGTAATACGGGAAGCTGTTCCTCGTGAACTTATTGGAGTGGGTCAGGACAAAATTCCCTCTCCCTTTTTGCCATTTGAAAGGCTTAAAAGAGTGGATGTCTTACGAGTCCCATCTTTCCTCCTAAACCGCCCCCCGAAACAAGAAAAAATGCTTGCTTTTTCCCCCCAATAGTTTTACAGATTTCAACAATGTTTCGCATTCACTCGCAGCAGCATTTTTCAAACTTGGCCACTTTGAGATGGGTGGACTTCAACTCCCAGAATTCCCTAGCCAGACAGAATTCTGGGAGTTGAAGTCCGCCCATCTTAAAGTGGCCAGGTTTGAAAAACATTGATTTACAGTCTCCCTTCAACCTTTAAAACCCTCCCACAAATACCCCCCCCCCAAAAAATGGGCTTGAATGTTCTGATTGTACCATGGCACAAGAGATACCAGGGTGGCCATGTGGTAGATGAATTCTCCACTCCTTACGGATTTTTTTCCTGTTTTCCTTTCCGCAGGCGCCCCCAATACAGCCGAACTGAAGATCTGCCGCGTGAACCGCAATTCGGGAACCTGCCTGGGGGGGGACGAAATCTTCCTTCTCTGTGACAAAGTGCAGAAAGGTAGTGCTTCTCCCGACAGCCCTGGAAAATTTTGTCCCTCGCTGGCTTGCTTTTTTTTTTTCTATGAATTAGACTAAACCAACCACCACGAGCCAAGGCAAAAACAAAGAAAGGGGAAAGGAATGGATACCTAACATAAGCTTTACGTGAAGGTTGAAGTGAAATATTATAACAATATTTTTAAAAAATAAAATACAAAAAAAGCATGGTAGGAAAAAGCTAGCCTCGCATCTCCTTCTCTGTTTTTCTCAGGCACAGATTGCTGCTTAAATATTTTTAACTGTGCTTTAGACATCGATGATGATTGCTCATTTACTCGCTGGCTGCTTTGAAGGGGGAAGGCGTTGCCAAACGCTGCAGTAAATTCTACCTTTGTTTTCTTTTGCTGCTTTTCAAACCACTGCTTCCCCTCTTGGTTTGACCCCCTTTTTGTTAGGCTGATATGAACATTTCCAACGTTGCGGTGCCTTATAAGGGGACCCTTTTGGGCACCATTTCCAAATCCATGTATTCGCAGATAGCTTGCCTTTATAGATTATACAGTATTTTTCTGCACTATTTTTCAAAGATGTATACAAGCTTGGCTTGGATTTTTGTCGTTACATGGGACAAGCAAGGATATGAAGAGAGAAAAGCACACTGGTTTGGTCCACAGGTTTGCGAGATGTAGTTAAAATGCAAACTGAATACATTTATTTCCCATCCGTTGATTAAAATGTGTGATATCCAGACGTGCTTCCTGTAACAGTGCAGGTTTTTTTCTTTTAAATCCACATGACAGGTAAATGTGGAGAGAAGCTGGTAGGTTTATTTTAAATGGGTATATTTCAACTACATTTTTGTATTCTTCACTGTGGCGTAAATCGTAACTGGTAATGGCCATTTTCAATCTTTTTACAATTACTCTGGTAAGATCTTAACGGTAGGGAAGGCTGGGGTGAAAACCAATGCAATGCCCTTTTTTTTTTTCAGGTGTGTAATCTGGATTAGGGAAATTCAGGTTCACACCTTTGCTTAGTTGTGGAGCTTGGTGGATGACTTAGGGCCCCAAGCACACTCTCTACCTTGCTGGGGATAAAGAGATTCAGCTCTCTGAGAAAACCCAAGATATAAATCCAATGGTTGTAGGAACAGTAATAAAAGCTGGAAGTAAAGCTACGTTCATAGCTCTGTGCCCAAGAATGCAAGGTGTTTAAGTGCCCGCTCAGCAGTCTGGCTGTCCCTGGACGTAATGCCCAATTTATGTGTATGAAGTGCGTTGAATGTTGGGGAGGATATGCTTAATTAAAAAAAAAAAGAAAATGAGTAGGGAACTTGACATGCGGGATAATTAAAGCGTGTTGCTATAAAGATGCACTGGACATAGCCCAGATCTGGAGCGCATGGGGTGGGACGGCTGACTAGCCCGGTCCTGAGGCTAGGGGAGGCCAGGCCTGTCAAGTTTCTGCTGCTTCTGCCCAAACCAGTTGCCCCTGATTGCTCTGACATCACAGCAGCTCAGCCAATGAGGCGCTGGCTGACTGTAGAAGAGGGTCCACGATACTTTCAATGCTAGGTTTAATTTGGGGAGGGTATCCCCGGGTGCATTTCCTTTCTCCTGCACTTTTGTTTCCCGAGCGTGTTTTGAAAGTGTTTTGTCCGTTCAGGGAGAGCGCTAGCCCTGTTGGGTCCCCTTCGGTGCCTTCTGAACACCAAACAGGGTTGATTTCTTCCCAACGTCTCCGCTTCCGTTCCAGAGGACATTGAAGTCCGCTTCTTCAAGGATTCCTGGGAAGCCAAAGGTTCCTTCTCGCAGGCCGACGTCCACCGCCAGGTGGCCATTGTCTTCAAGACCCCACCGTACGTGGATCAGGGCCTCCGCGAGCCCGTGACGGTCCAGATGCAGCTGCGCCGTCCCTCCGACAAGGAGGTCAGCGGCTCCATGGAGTTCCGTTACCTCCCCGATGAAGGTATTTCACTGGCGGGGGAATAAAGCGACAGCTGCTTCGCGGGTTGGGGGGCCCAAACCAGGCCCAATCCACTCTGAACGGTTGATTTGATTTTAATTGGACTGGGGAAATCGGTCTGAGTTGATACAGACGTCGACCGGGGCACCTAAAACAATTGGGGGGAAATAACATTCCTGCATATAAGCAGCAACATGCGAATTGTACGAAGGGGTGCAATGGGGCGGCCTGATTTGATTCATAAAAATGATTTATCGCATTTGGCTTCAAACCAAGTCTCGGAATTGAATTCCCCCCCACACACACACACACAGCTGGAAAGAAAAAAAATGTCATGGGTGGGTTCTGGTGGCCCTTTATTTTTTTGTATAAAAGTGCACTGTCCATAAATACCTCTTGGCCCCCAAATGCAGAATTAAAAAGGAAAGTAGATTTAAAAAAAAAAAATGGAGCCAATTTACAATCTCAGCCAGGCTAAGGAGTGAGGGCCCCAGGCAAGCCTCTTAACCCTGTCCCCCCCTTTGAGAAGCAGCCACAATGATTTTGAATGTAACAGAAGGAAGAAGTATTTCATTCACGACTGGGACTTAGTTATTTAATTCTGTTGAGTTTAAATGAAAATGAATTTACATTTGTCCTTCTTATGATATACTCCCGCTATCTTGGCATGCCATTCAGAGGCAAAGTGTAGCCCTTGTCCCAGGAAAAGTTTATCCCCCCCCCCAAATAATTTGAATTTAGGATAATAGCTTTGCAGGAGGGGGGGAGACAGGACTGCAGGTGTGATGACTCACATCACTTATACTCACAGATAAGCCAAACCCAATTTTGGGGGTGTATTTTGGCATCTAAAATTCTTGGCTCATCCACGAGTATATATGGTAGGTTTCTCACCTTTGAATGAGTGCAGGATAATTAAGAGAAACCTTTTCTATCCCCACCCCTTTCCAAATTAAATTGTCCTCAACCCCCCCACTTTCTCCCCTTGGCAGGCGACTTCCATCGAATCGAGGAGAAGCGCAAACGGACTCTTGGGACTTTCAAGAACTTTGTACAGAAAACACCTTTTGCAGGTAAAAAGGTGGCAGAAGCAGAAAGAAATGGGGGGACAGCCCCAGTTGAAAGAGCTAACGTGCGAAGTGGGGAGAGCCCCCTTTGATTTGGCTGGGGCTGGGCAGGCGAGCAGGCGTCCTTCAGGGCGTTTGGACTACAAGGCCCATCAGGCATCATGTCCCATTGTCTAAAATTGTGGAAGCACCGTTCCGAACCTCTGAAGACCAGCGATTGGTCCTTTCCTGCTCAACGGGGAGGCCTGCCAGAACAGAAAATTGACATAATGGATTCAACTTAGTTACTGGATGAATTTATTATCTGTCTTTCTACGTTTCCAGAGCACGCTTTGGGCGTAGAGGCTGGGTTTGAATAAACCAATTACTGTGTTTTATTGGCCTAATAGGCTGTACCATAAGCTACGCAGAAGGGTTGGGCTTGTACAATTGGCCGAGGAGCCAAGGTTTACAACGGACCATGGTTAACACGGGGGAGGAAATGCAGCCGCATGGCTTGCACCCAACCTGGTCCAGTAGGTCAGGCAAAGAAAGTCACATTGAAACAGATGGGACTTCGATGAGATACAATGACCTCCTTGATTTCAGGAGTCACGTGGTCAGGATGCTACTCTGTTAAAATAAAGGTTTAGCAATGGGGTGTTAAAAGGAAGCAGCAAAATGGAGGCCGCGAGAACTTCTTGAAGAATTCCAGATTTCAGCCCAAGACAAGTCAAAGGATCAGCGGTTGCAACAAACCCCATTTCACTTCAAAGCAGCCGGAATTGCTCTTTGGAATAAAGTTTTTTTTTAAAAAAGGCGGGCATTTCTGAAGCTGAGATACACGGTTACCTGTCTTCTCTCTTCCTCAACAGTAGGAGCGTCGGAAGCGCAAGCTCCACGCCGCATTGCTGTTCCGAAACATGGGGTAGTACGGCCTAATACCAGCGGTAAGTTCCTCCCCATCCCATTCCCAGATATCTTCTGTCTCTGCAGAAGATGTTTGGAAGAGTTTGGAAAATGTTGTAAACCAGCAGCGTGGTTAAGTATACAAGTAGAGAGTAGCAGCCTAAGATCTTCCTCTTTCTTTCAAACTGTTTGGTGATGTCCTGTCTCTCTTGTATCTTAGAGATGTACTGTACCCGCGTGATCTAACTCCAGGTCACTTTTTCTCCTGGAACCTCGTGTTCCCCTACTTGCTCCAGAACAGAAATGGGGTCCCCCACAAGAAATGCCTCACGAGCTGTCTCCTTTCATCCTTCTAACCCAGTGTTTCTCAACCTTGGCCACTTTGAGATGAGTGGACTTCAACTCCCAGGATTCCCCAACCCACCCTGGTGGGTCGGGGAATCCTGGGGGTTTAGGGCCATTATCTTTATGGGGGCCCCGGTGGGGAACACTGGGGTAGAAAGGGTA